GTGTGAGAAGAGGGTGGGAAAGGGCAGAGGGTCAGACATAGGGGTAAATATATATATATATATATGAAACTAGAAATGGAAATTTATTGATAACATGCATGATTAAGTCACTATGCAGTATATTCTGGATGGATAACCATTTTTTGTGTGCTGTGACGATGATTAGAGGATGAATGTAAATTAATTTTAAAAATTTCAGGAGAAAACTCATGAAAACCATTTTTCAGGAAATTAAAAAAAGTATATTTGAGGACTGCAGTAAGCTGTGTAGTCCCAGCTGGGTGCTACTTTGGCGTATGTTCATTCTACTCACTGAGGTTTATGCCTAGGGTCAGACTTGTGTTCAGGGACATGTATATATCAGCTGCGCTTGCTACTGGAAATATTTAGATTAATTAAGTTCATTAGTGAATAAATAAAATGGGGGAAAGGCATAGAAAGCAACCGTGGATACCAGAGACAGTGTGGGAAGAGGGTGGGACACGGCAGATGGTGAGAGAGAGGGAATCAAGAACGGCAAAATAACAACATATACAGGAAACAGGAAATGGAAAATTGTTGACGATAACACGTATGTTGATGTGCTTGATTGAGCCAATATACAGTGTATTCTGGATGGGAAATCTCATTTTGTTTGCTGTGATGATGTATAGTGAATGAATGTAAATAAATAAAGGAAAAAAAAAGGCAGGGTTTTTTGAGAGAGATTTTCACTACAGAGTGCGTGCACTCGCCAGAGAGACAGGAAGCAAGAAATCACCCCCCAGGCGGGATGGCCATGTCGCAATCCCTTCTCCTCCATTCTCCTCTCAGGATCTTAGGAACACACGCACACATGCCTGGCATGAGTTTAAGCCTCCAAGTCTAGGACTCGAACTACAGTTGACTACATGGGAGTCCAGTGACATAACCATTATGCCATCTGCTGGTCCCTTTAAAAAGTCTTTATTGCAGGCTAGCCAGTGGTGTGGTGGTTAAGGCAGCTGGAGCCCACTGGCCAACCAAGTGACTCAAGTCCCAGACCCAGCCTGAAAAACATGTTCGTGTGTGCACATATGTGCCCACAATCCTGAGAGGATCCTAAGGTGTGGCCATCCCCCCGTGGGGGGAGATTTCTCACTTTCTCTCTCTCTCCAGCCCTATATCAAAACCTACATGTGCCCTATATCAAAAACTCCAAAAGAAAAAAAAAAAGAAGAAAAACTAGGACCAGCAGATGACCTAGTAGTTACATCACTATACTCCCACATGGGTGACTGCGGTTTGAGTCCCAGACCCGGTGGCTTGAAACTCACGCTGGGCATGCGTGCGTGTGTGCCCAAGATCCTGGGAGGAGAATGGAGGAGAAGGGATTGTGACGTGGCCATGCCTTCTGGGGGGTGATTTCTCACTGTCTCTCTCTCTAACTCTCCAGGGAGCGCACGTGCCCTAAGGCAGAAACCCTGGGGAAAAAAAGAAAAACTTTATTGTCATTCTCTATAATATTTTTTAAGAATTATTTTATTTAACTTTATTTATTTATTTAATTTTAATTTTAATTTGACCAGAGAGAGACAGAGTGAGACCAAGAGTGAAAGAGAGAGGGGGATGGAGAAAGTGAAAAAGCAAGCCACCAGGTCTAGGACTCGAACCGCAGGCAGCCATGTGGGAGTCCAGCACCCTTAAACACCACACCACCTGCCAGCCCCCACCTGCCTCTTTAAAAATATTATAGAGAAGTGGGGCCAACAGGTGGGATGGTATTTAAGGGCTCTGGACTCCCACATGGGACTGCAGTTCGAGTCCTGGACCTGGCGGCTTGCTTTTTCACTTTCTCTCTCTCTCGCTCGCTCTCGCTCTTGCTCTGGCTCTGTCTTTCTCTGGTCAAATTGAAATAAATAAACAAAGTTAAATAAAGTAGTTCTTTGGGGGTGGGGAACGCAGGTGTTCGTGGATCAGGGAATCAGCAGAGGCTTTTCGCTCCCGAGGTCAACCAGGGACTAAGGCCATGTGGGAGGAGGGAGACTGGACCGTTTGGGATGTGTGACCCAGGAAGGCAGACCCGGTGGTCTGCAGTGTGGAGTATACCAAAGCCCTTTCTTGCCTTCCAGGGTCTCCTCATGCTGCTACAGAACCTGCCTACGATACACTGGGGCAACGAGGAGATCGGGCTGCTGCTCGCTGAGGCCTACAGACTCAAGTACATGTTTGCCGACGCCCCCAACCACTACCGCCGATAGGTGCTGTCTCCCCCGGGGACCCGGACTGCCCCCATCTCTGATGGCAATCTGCTCACCGTGGCCACTGTGCGAGCCGTGGACCCTGGCCAGGAGCCACTCCTGCTGTACAAAGCTCACACCCGCCATCCAGGTCTTAACTCTTCGGCATCCACCACTCCATGTCTCTGGATGTGTCTCTGGGACCACTGTCAGTATTCCAGGCCACGTGGATGGGCCCAGCTCTGGGAGAGGACAAAACCGGAGGTACAGGGTTGTCTGCCCCTTGAGAAGAAACTGGACAAAAGGGGAAGGCTCAGGGTCTCAGCTCACACTGTCCCTACATGGGCTGCCTCTTGCCCCCTGGCCCCAACTAAGGCCGCTGCTTTTGTGACATAGTTTGATTTGATCACAGGTCAGAAACGCCTTATGTTCTCAAGACCCCTGGTCCCTCTGCTCTCCCCGGTCCTAGCCCCTCCCCTTCTGCCCTTGTCTGAGCCAGGGAGGGGCTGCGTTAGAGGAGCTGTCCTCAGATGGAGGAGGCCAACACCCAAGGGCTAGGGATCTGGTTTCCCTTTTCTCACCAGGCGCGTGCGAGCGTGTGCGTGCATGTGTGAGTGTGTGTGTGTCTGTCTACGTGCCCATCAGCATTCAGCCACGTGTCTGAATCTCTGCATCCCGACTAGTCCCATCAGAACCCGCGGGGAAGGGCAAGGGTCCCGTGACCAAGTGTACAAGCGTCCCTTGAGAAGGATCAGGGTAGGGGAGGGAGCGAGGGCTTTTTGCCTCTCCGAACCCCTTTTCCACAATGACCCACTCCAAGATACTAGGTGTAGATTGTGCTCTGTGCGGTAGAGGTGTACAGATACACGTCCTCTTTGTAGCAGGTAGGGTTTCGTATTCACAGTGTGCGTCAGCTGTGGAAGCAATCGAGGTCACTAGCACAGACGCAGCTCCAGGCGGGTGGCTGCAGCGCCTCCAGTTGGTTCCTGGGTACCCCACCATGAGGGAGGTGGAGCAGGAGTCTGCTCAGGTGAGCGTGGCCAGGCAGGCGCAGCTGCCTTGAGATGCAACGGCAGGCTTCCCCGCATCAGTGTCTCCACGGTCCCCTCCCCTCCCTCCACTCCTCCCAGGCCTTTCTGGAGCGTCTGCCCCACTCCTCCCCATCTTCGGCAGGGGGAACCCCCGACCCGTCACCCTTAGCAGCCTCCCCAAGAAGGGACTGCAGAGGTAGAAGCACTTTCTACATGTTTTTAGCCCCTGCCGTCCCCCTGAATCTGGAGAGGGCTTTTGTTTGCCCATTCCTAAGTCAGCGTTGTATTCAGGACAAGCCGTGACTGACTAGTCAGTGCCAAGGAAAGGTCCCCGGTTTGGGGCTCTTCTCAGCGTTCGGTGTCCCTCCTGTCACCATCCCACCCCACGCAGCTCATGTGCCGTGCGGCCCACATTCAACTGTCGGGGTTTGGTAGTGGAGAGCTGGAGGACAGGGCCAGCAGCTGTCATCCTCATGGGAAGCCAAGCAGAGTCCCCAGTGGGTGACACCCTTGAGTCTCCTTGACAGTGAGGCCCAGCGCACCACACCCAGCCATGAGTTAGGCGTCTCACCCGGAGCTGTTTCTCAGGCATTCTTCCCAACCCTCTCCTCTCCCTTCGGTGTGCCTCAGTAATCTCCGTCACAGAGTGGGGGGGCTGTGACCCTCCCTCCGCCGGACTAACTAAAGAAAGACACTTGTGTTCCCAAGTGGTGGTTTTATTTTTTTAGTTTTTATGTTTGTATGGGAAATTGTGGATAAAGTGAAAGAATTGTAAATAAATAGTGTTATTTCCTCCTCCATCTGCCGATTCTTCTCCTGTGGATTCGTGTCACCTAAGGAGCCTCCGTATCTCAAGTTTTTCTTGCTGAAACTAGTTAAGGGAGAGAGAGACGGTCCTCCTGCAGGACGCGCAGGGGACCAAGAGAAGACCCAGTCATTCTCAGAGGACGCCAGCGAGCGCACACGGAGCGTCTGCTCTGCGAGAGCTGCTGTGGAAGCCGTGGCAGTGAGAGACGTGGCTCCCGAGAGCCGACGTCTGTGGGCACCTGGCCACGCACCGCGAGTGGCGCTTTACAGGGGTTATTTCATTCATCCAACAGGAACACGGGCGCCATTGGGAGTTGGCAAATGGACTGGAATTTCAGTGCTGGGTGAAAGCCTTCAGGGGCCTCGCTTAACATCCTCCTGGTTCACAGGGGAAAACCCAACCTGAGGCCACAGCAGCCTCCGAGTCAAACCAGAGCACGGGCCTCCCCCTGCCTGCCCTCTCTGGTGTGCTTTCCACCAGACCGAACAGAGCAGGAACTGGCCCTCTGTTGAGGGCAGGGCACTGCGTTATGGCTCTTTTGGAGGTTGTTTTCTCTCTTGTCAGTCTTACTGTGAAATGTCTCAAGAAAGGCAGTTCACGGCGTTTTTCACCTACGAAGGCTAAATTGGAATGATTTCCCCACCCAGAAACTTCTTCCCGGTATTCAGGGGAAAGTTCTTGGTTTCAGTCAAGTAGGGACTATTGGGTTGTCCGAAAAGTCATGATGTATTTTTCCTATGTTTTTCTGTGTAAAATTGCATCAACTTCTCCAGCAACCTAATATATAAGGAATGATTCAACTGTGTGTAACAGAAACCAAAAATAATATTGGCTTATACAAGATGGGGATTTTCTTCTCTCTTGTATAAATGTCTGAGAGTACGTAGCCCAGAGCTGGTGTGAGGACTGTTTCACAAAGTGCACAGAAACCTGGACTCCTTCCCTAAATCATCCTCCTCAAGGTGGTGGCTAGCACTCATTTTTACATCCACTCTCCAAGCAAGAAGATGGGTTAAAGAGGGACGAGCAGATGGCGTAATGGCTACGTCACTGGACTCCCATGTAGTTGACTGCTGTTCAAGTCCGGACCGGTGGCTTAAACTCATGCCAGGCACGTGTATGTGCGTGCCCAAGATCCTGAGAGGAGAATGGAGAAGGGATTGCGGCGTGGTCAACCCCCCCCGGGGGTGATTTCTCGCTTTCTGTCTCTCTGTCTCTGTCTTTCTGGTGAGTGCACTCACCCTATAGCAAAAACCTCTCCAAAAGTAAAAAGATGAGTTAAAGAGGGACAAAGAAAGAAGGAAGTGTGCAGGAGTGTTTCAAGGACGGTTCTGGGGAGTTGCCTCATAATCCTTCCTCTTACAACTCACAAGACAGAACTTAGCTCGTGGTAGGTCGCACCTAGGAAGTGAAGTTGGGAGATTAAGTCTATTCCAGGCAGCCACAAGCCTAACCAAAAATCAGGATTCTGGGTGCTGGACAGTGACACAGTGGTAAAGCTCAATGCTCTGCGAGGCTGACTCACATGGGAAGGTTCTGGGTTCATATCCAGGGACCTCCCTGAACATACCAGGCACAGGCATGCTGGCTGGCAACCTGGGGCTGGACGGATCCAGCCATGTCAAAACCCTGTTGGAAGTGCTGTCTCTCTCGCTCACTCGCTCTCATAGGAGAAATAATTAAATAAACTTTATCACCATAAAATCAGGATTCTATTACTATGGAGAAAGGGAAATCAGATGTTAGGATTCAGAGAACAATGTCTTAAAATAAGAACACATAGGTCCAGTTCCTTAGCATAGTAGTTAAGTGCAGGGCCTAAGGAACTTAACCCACATGGTTGTAGTCCCTCCCAGTGGCTTGTGTGTCTGCATGCTCAAAATCCTGACAGGAGGAAAAGATAGAGGGAAGGGGGGGCCGGCAAGTGGCGTGGTGGTTAAAGGCACTGGACTCCCACATGGGCGACCACGGTTCGAGCCTCGGACCTGGTGGCTTGCTTTCTCACTTCCTCTCTCTCTCTCTCTGATCAAACTGAAAAATAATAATGATAATAATAATAAATTTTTAAAAAGTTAAAATAAAATAATTCTTTAAAAAAAAAAAAAGATCGAGGGAAGGGGACTTCGGCACAACCATGTCCCATTGGAGTCTACAGGCTCACTCTCTGTCTCTTTCTTTCTCTGATAAATGCATGTGCCCTCTGGCAATAAAAAAAAAAAAGAAGAACTTTAAAAAGTAAGTTAAAAAAAAGACTTTCCCATAAACCTGTAGAGGGGAATCTGTGAAATTCAGGTTAGCTAGAATTTAGAGTGTGTCATAAAACATGGATACCATTGGGTCGTTGGAAAAGTCATGACATTTTTCCAACGACATGACATATTTTTCCGACGACCTAATATTTCTACTTGATATTATTTGGACTGAGTCCATTTCTACTAGTCTTCATTTGAAAATTCTGGTGTTTTGGGGCCAGCAGGTGGCGTGGTGGTTAAAGGAACTAGATTCCCACATGGATGACTGTGGTTTGAGTCCTGGCTTTGGCAACTTACTTTTGCTTTCCCTTTCTCTCTTTCTGGTCAAATTAAAATAATAACAACTGGAATTAAATAAATGTTTTTTTAGAAAAAGGAAAATTCTGTTTTTCATTTATACAGGAAGTCAAGCATTTTCTGAAATATGTTTGATCATGACTAGAAAATTGATGAAACCTCCAACCAGCAGCTTAGCCAACGTCTCTGCAGTCTACCTAAATCTCCACAGCTCTACTTTACAAGGCCCCACCTCTGTTTTCATTCATCTCTGAAGGGAAAGTGGCACAGATTCCTCGAGTAGTGATCTCATCGGCTTCTAGATGTAAGAGCACGTGACACGACCTGGGTTGAATTTCGCACGCGAAGACAGCTACGTGAAGCTTCGAAAACTGGAGGCAGAAAAGACGGTCCAGTAACTGAGCCCTTCATACCTCTCTAGGGACGTCCCGCGCTCACTTCCTGGCTGGAGACAGTTTTAAAAGCTGTCATAGACACCAGGGTGGCAAGTTTAGGTTCATGATAAAAGATGAGATTCACACCAAAGCAGAGAGCGTGAAGCACGGGGCCACAAGACCGTCGTCTCCAAAGCCTGTGCCACCTTGCCAGGGTGCTTGCAGCACACAGCTGTGCAAATCAGCGCGTCCTAGGGAAAGGAGAGTACCTCCTTGTTTTGACAAAGGCTGAATATTCCAATTTCTGGAAACAAAGAGAACGCCTCTTCAGTTTGGTTTCGTAGGTGGTTTGTGGGCTGTGGCTTTTGGGTGGTGTGACCGGCCCTGCCCACTATGAAAGCTGTCGTGGGGAATTTGGGAGCCAGAGTCTGGGCTGCTTTTGCTTATGGGAACACTAAGCTTATCTCCTCCAACCCCGCTATCCAAGAGGAAACCCGAACTTCTCTTCAAACCACCGGTCTCCAAAATGTTTTCACTCTGAACCTGTATGTTTAATGTGAAGTTCTTTTTTTAAAAAATCACCACAGGATTGGGACCAGCAGTTAGCGTAATGGCTATGTTGCTGGACTCCCATGTAGTCATCCGCAGTTCGAGTCCCAGACTGGTGGCTTAAAACTCACGTCGGGTGCGTGTGTGTGCATGCCCAAGATCCTGAGAGCAGAATGGAGGAGAAGGGATTGCGGCATGGTCATCCCCCCTGGGGAGTGATTTCTCGCTTTCTGTTTCTCTGTCTCTCTCTGTCTTTCTGGCAAGCGCACACAGACAAAAAGTCACAGGGTTCATGCATTTGTCAGAGAGAGCCCCCCCCAATGGTATGTGGTCATGCCACCGTTTCTTCTCCATTTCTCTGTTAATGTGGACTTTTCAACCACATGTACAGTTGGGGCTTGCTTGCTAATCCAGTCTAACCATCTTTTGTTTCCTTTTTTTTTTTTATTTTGGAGAGGTTTTTTTTTGTTTTTGATTTTTTTTTGCTATAGGGCGTGTGCGCTCTCCAGACAGACAGAGACAGAGAGACAGAAAGTGAGAAATCACCCCGGGCGGGGGATCACCACGCC